ACACCAGCACTGACGAACACTTCAGAAATTGGGGGAACATGTTGTCCTTTGAGAGGAACCCAACCAGCTTGCATAGAGGATGATGGCTGATACCCAAGACCGAAACGATCTTTCTTCTCTGGAACTTCAATCAATTTGCCCCAACTGTCATGGGGAGGTCTAGCTTCTATGAGGGCTTTGGCATCCTTCAAAGAGGCCAGGGGTATCTCAAACTTCTTACATTCCACGACGGGGAACTTGTCAACAGTAACAATCTCCAGAGCTTGAAAGGGAAACTATTGTACCTTGCCTTCCACTTACACATAACGGTAGGTAGTCAGATTATTAATCATTATGTCTTCTTCCCCGCAAACAATGACAACTTGGTCATTCGCAATGAACTTCAGGCGTTGATGAAGAGTAGATGTCACAACTCCTGCTACATGAATCCATGGACGACCCAAAAGGCAAGTATAGGATGGACGAATGTCCATAACATAGAATGACAAATAGAAAGTGTGGGGACCAATCTTGACAGGCAAATCCATTTCTCCATCCACAAATCTTCTCAAACCATCAAACGCTCTAACATTCAGAGTGGAGGGCCTCATCATTACTCCGTCCATATTCAGCTTAAACAAGGTAACCTTAAGCATCACATTGAGTGAAGAACCTGTATCCACCAAAACTCGAGATAAAACAGTGTCCAAACACTTCATAGAAACATGCAGCGCTTTATTATGGGCTCTGCCTTCAATGGGGAGTTCATCATCACAGAAACCCAAACAATTTCCCACAACAATATTGGTGACTATTCCTTCAAACTGGGCCACAGAGATGTCTTGGGTAACATGAGCAAAACATATGATCTTCAATAAGGCGTTGCGGTGGGCCTCTGAACACAAAAGGAGAGACAAGATGGAAATCTAGGATGGTGTCTGGTTGAGTTGATCCACTACTTTGTAATCACTCCGCTTGAGAATTCTCAAAAGTTGCTCCGCTTCTTGTCCTACAGAAAGTTCGGGTTTGATTATCCATCACTTGCTTTCCCCTGGCCTTAGCTAGAGCTTCACTGTTAGTTTCCCTAGGAGGTGGTGGTGGAGGAGAAAAGATCTGACCACTGCGAGTCATGTTACTGGTTCCCGCGATGTTGGTAACATTCTTGTCACCAACTGGAGGGCACTCATACCTTCTTCCATGAATATAGACCATATTATACTCCCATGGAACTGCCTTCGAGTCATTGCTTGTAGGAGGAATATGAGCTTGAATCATTTTGGGGGTAATAAGAACCTGAATTGTTAACAGAATACTAGGAGTTGCTGAAAAGATTCTCGGATAGTAGGGGATTTCCAGGACATCAATCTCTTCTTCTCGGAATATTTTCTCTATCTGTAGGACACCTTCATTGATCAACTGTTGGATGGCGATCTTCAAATTAGTACACTCTTCAGGCTTGGAAGAACATCTTAAGCAGAAGTCATGGAGTTCTTGTAGCACCTCATGCTTCAGCAAATCTTCTTTGACAGTTTCTAAAGACATCTTAATTTCGTCAACCCTTGATACCAAAACCCGTTCATTAACTTCTTCAATAGCACTGACCGTTCCCCCTTGATGAGGAGGCATGAGATTATTTTGAATATTCGGACCAACAGGGTTGAAGTTGATGGCTTATGCATCGATGAGATCTTGAACTTTACATTTGAATGCTCTATAATTTTCAATTGTATGGCCTGGGGCACCATAATTAAATTCACAATGAGCATTAACATCATACCCCCTAGGGAGAGGATTTGGTGGAGGACCGAGTTCGCGCAATTGAACCAATTAACTAGCAAGTAACTATGGGAGAAGTTGAGCGTAGGACATGGGAATGAGATCAAATCTTCTTTCAGGGGCTCTTTGTCTTTGAGGGGCTCTTGGGCCTTGTGGTTGTTGATTCGGTTGTTGATAAGTTGGATGAGGTGCAAATTGTTGTTGCGGAACATAATGTGGTTGCGGAGCGAAAGGCCGTTATTGGGCCATCCAGGGTGCTGGAGTTGTAGCATCATATACTTGAGGAACAAATTGGTTGGGAACAGCAGTAGGTGTAGGACAATAAGGGAATCGGACTTGAGGAAATGCGGGAGCTCTTCCTTGGTTGATGGTGATGGCACTACTCTCGCCCTCTTTCTTATTGACAAAACCAGAGAATGGTTTTCTACTAATGCTCGCATTATTGTTAACATTGTTAGGAACACCTTGAATCGTTCCAGCCTTAATGCACGTCTCAACATGTTCACCAATAATGACCATATCCGAGAAAGAAGTAGAAGTGCTACTGAGCATATGCTGGAGATAAAGGCCTCGCAGAGTACCCATAAACAGATCAATCAATTAACGATCCAAGAGAGGAGCTTGGACCCTTGCAGCCAGTTCACGCCACCTCTGAGCGTATTCTTTGAAAGACTCTTCAGATTTTTGTACCATCCCTTGGAGCTGAGTATGGCTAGGAGCCATTGTAGTGTTGTAATGGTAATGTTTCAAAAAAGCTCCAACAAGCTCTCCCCAAGTACTGACATGAGATCTTTCCAATTGCATATACCAATCCAACGGTGCCCCGGTCAAGCTGTCTTGAAAGAAATACATGAGCAATGGTTCATTTTCAACATAGGCCGCCATTTTGCGATAATATGAATGGAGATGGGTCTCTGGGCAAGAAGTGCCTTTGTATTTGTCAAACTCTGGGATTTTGAACTTGGGAGGAATAACTACCCCAGGCACGAGGCATATTGTAGCAGTATTGAATCTGGAAGCCTTGATACCTGTAGCGGTGAAAATCGGAGATCAAGCTATTAATTAACTTGACTCGCAAAAGCAAGTGTCGCCACCGCGCTTTATTATTTCCAAGGGAAAAGGGAAAAGAGCGAAATAAAACCCTAAAATATGCAATGTAAAGTAATATTTAAAAGTAATGAAAATACAATACGTTTTTAAAAGAGATCGAGAGTTCGGGGGTTGGTTATACAATGGGAAGGTATTAGCACCCAATGCATCTGCGGTACTCCGCAGGAACCTTTTGAAATATCTGTTTTTTTGGTTTAAAATTGTTTGTTTGATTAAAATGATTCGTTTGGCTAAAGGATGGGTATGGACAAGATTTTTGAAGATACGACGACCTAGTGTCGAAGTTTTGACTTAAAAGGTGTGAGTTTGAAAATGGATTTGTAGGAGATTCGTCTTAAGATTAATAAAACTAAAAAAAGGTATGAAGGGATTTCACATAATCGTATTAGATACTCGATGACATGAAGTCAACAAATTAATTCTTTCCCTTGGATTAAATCGAGCGAGCAAAATAAAATAGACATCAAAATATAAGCAATTAAAATTCACAAGAAAATAAATATAACAAAACAGATTAATGACCTAAAGGCATCGAGAAATTAAAATGACATAGATATTTAAATAAAATAAAAAAGAATGTAACTAATTATCTAAAGAAGTTATTTAAACTATATTAAAAATTTAAGATTACTTACTAAAAAAAAAATTCTAAACTAACTACAAATTCTAAGGTTGCAAAAATAGTTCTAAAATTACTAAATTGAATCTAAGCTAAATTAAACATTTTTAAAATTAGTAAATTAAATCTAAACTAAATAAAAATTCCAAGGTTGCTAATCTAAAACAAAAAAAGTTCCAAAGTTACTAAACTAAATCTAAATCAAATGAAATTCTAAAAGAATATTAAACTAATTCTAAACAACTAAAATTCTAAACTTATTAAACTAATTCTAAATAAAATAAAGTTCTAAAGTCCCTAAACTAAAACTAACAACTAAAATTCTAAAGTTAACCTAAATAAAAATCAAATAAAATTCTAAAGTTTACTAAATTAAAACTAAAACAAATAAAATTCTAAAATTTACTAAGTCAAATCTAAATGAAATAAAATCCTAAAGTTACTAAAATAAAACTAAAACAAAATAAAATTCTAAAGTTTACTAAGTCAAAAACTAAAACAAATAAAACTCTAAAATTTACTAAGTCAAATCTTAAATGAAATAAAATTCTAAAGTTACTAAAATAAAACTAAAACAAAATAAAATTCTAAAGTTTACTAAGTCAAAACTAAAACAAATAAAATTCTAAAATTTACTAAGTCAAATCTAAATGAAATAAAATCCTAAAGTTACTAAAATAAAACTAAAACAAAATAAAATTCTAAAGTTTACTAAGTCAAAACTAAAACAAATAAAACTCTAAAATTTACTAACTAAATTATAAAATCACTAACTAAGCTAAATCAAATATTCTAAAGTTATTAACTAAGTTAAACATTCTAACATTATTAACTACTGAATGAAAATTTTAAAATTACTAACTAAGCTTAATATAAATAATTCTAGACTTAACAACTAATTCTAAAGAAAAATATTAAGTTGACTCCAAACTAAACTAAATAAAACAAAATGTCTAATTTAAGAACAAAATTATATGATTAATTAAAACTAACTAACCTAAATAAATGAAATATAGCTTAGAAAAAAAATCAAATCTAAATTGAATAGAACTATGGTGTAGGGCAATACAGGGAAGAAATCGTCTTGTATTTCGTATGGGCTCAAAGAGGGAATGGCCAGCCCAAGTTAAGGAGAATAGATAAAATAAAAATAAAAAAGAAGAAATAATATGAAAGTTACAACAAAGATAAGTATGGGGCGGCAAATGTTTCATGGGGAAGGTTTTGACCAATTCATCTTGAAATTACAGCCATGCAGAAAATGACACGTGGAATTAAATTGATTAATAAAAAATAAAATAAAAACCCAAAATACTTACACGTTGAGAGAGTTTCAGATCCAAACTCGGTTACTCTTTCTTTCTCCAACACTCTGCTTCCTTCTTTTCATAGTTTTTTTCTCCCCAATTTCAAATACAAACAAACACCACAAGTTTATGGTCAAAACAAAAAGTGATAACATCAAAATGAACTTGCACTGATATATGGCCGGGACGAGCAACAGTGAGAGATCGCGATGGCTGTGCAATCACTCGTGGCGGAGGAATCTTTAAATGGGTGGCTGCGGCGTCGGGCATCTCGCATCGGATGTATGATTGTTGCGCAGATCCGAAGCTCAACGGTGATTGGAGTAGTGGCATCGTGCGATTGGAGGGGTGTAGGTGGTGGATGACGTTACGAACGTTGATGATGAGGAACGGATCGCTGGGTTCATGAGCGAGAGAGGAAGACGGCGATGTAAGGTTGGTGAATGTGAGTATGTTAGCTACTGTTAGTTTTTTGTGTCTTTATGTGTTTCTATCTTTCTCTTCTTCTTGTTGAACTCTTATAGATTCTGAAATCCGATTGTTGCGAATGCTGTGTTGAGTTGTTGAATGTTTTTATGCACATTACAGATGGAGAGTGTCTTGTGGATTTGAGCGAATAAAAGGTGATGAAGGTTTTGGTGAAAGGTTATAGAGATGAGTTGGGTAAACAATAGTTAGGTTGTAAGTTGAAAGGTGGATTGTAGAGGTCTGATACAGTTTAAAAAGGTGATGAAGATTTTTGGTTTATGAGGGGGTATGGAGTGTTTGGAGTGAAGGTTAGTTGAGTATGTAATGGAGATGATGGCTGGTTTGTGGAGAACTTCGTGGAAGATGAACATAACAGAGGGAGATGGCAGGAAGGCGGAATTGTGTTTGTTTTGTTTTTTTGAAGGGGAATTTCCAGATGAGGGATTATGCTGTGCGTTGAAATAGAAGGGTTGAAATTGTTTTTGTTCACTTCTTCTTGCTTTCTTGATGCAGGTTGGTGGTTTTCTATTCTTGTGCAAAATTGGGACAGCATAGCAGAACTAGTTTGACTGCTGCAACATAGGTTGATTTTGGACAGAACTTATACAGTTTTGGGACTGTAAGGCAGAGTTTGTAGCAGTGGTTCTGGAGAGCAGACAAAAGACAGTTTTGGGGCATTATTTTTGGACTGATGTGCAGCAGTAAAATTATCATTGAAAAGTCCCTTTTCTAATTTGCATTTTTTCTGATTTTCCCATGTAACCATACATGTATTTTCCCTCTCTTTTCTTTTAAAATATTGGACTGATTTTGTTTTCATATATTTTGTTGTTTTGGTGGACAGATTTGGATGAAAATTGAAGCAAGGTTTGGATGAGTTTTGGGAGCTTGATGTCATTTATAAATAGGACTTGGTAGTTTTGAATTGATGTATTTGATCATTTGATGATTGAATTTGTAACTTTTATTATGACATTGAGTGTTTGAGTGAAATGACAACTTTTGGTGAAACATGGTTTAGACTTTGTAACTTGTTATATTTGAATTCGAAATTTCCATAATTCCAAATTGTAAGCATTATAAGTTGGATGGAACTTTTGTCCCTTGTATTCGAACCTCTCTTGAAAAACATTTGCAACTTTGAATGGCATTTGAACTTGACATTTGAATTTTGAACATTGTCTTGAAAGTTGAATGGTGTGCAACTTAAAATAATGAATGTTTGAATCTTGGCATAATGACCTTAAATCAAAAGGAATTTGTATGAATTGAAAGAAAGGTAAATGTTAAAACTTTAATGAATCGAATCTTAATGAACAAACAAATGCCTTAAGAAATTTAATCAAAATCCAACTTCGCTCCATTAATCATTAACGCTCAAACACAAGTGACTTGAATTACGAGCAATAGATGATCAATGAATCTTCAAACTCAACAACTTATTTGATGAATTATCTTAACATAAGAATCAAACGTCCTTTGAGAAAACGTTTGTGGCATAAATTGAACCAAGCACAAATTGACCTCGACCTTTGAAGTAATCTCATAGACAATGCTATTTGTGACACTTCACAAAAAGAATTGCCTCGGGACGTTGAGAATTGAAGAAGTTATGAACCTCGAAATTTGGACAAGAGTTTCTTGTGATTAGGTTAAATTTGCAAAAAGACCTCCAAAGTATTCGAATTTTAGATGATCCTCCATATACAATCAACTCTTGACTTGTAAAGAGGAGTGGGAGATGACATCATACGCAAAAAGAACCACTCAAAAATATGGAATAATGAAGAAGTTATGATCGTTTGAACTTGATCTTGCAAAAAGTTGAATTTTGGTCGAAGTGCTTTAAATCATCTCACATAGCCTGATCTTTTCTTGCATTCCAAGACACATTGAAGCACACGTGAACCAGTGATGATGGAATCTTGTATGTGCTCTGAGGAAGTTGTGGAGAAGTTTGAGAGGTTAAAACTGGCCATATTTCGTGCCCTTAATTTCTTTGAATAAAAATGCAAATGAAGATGGGATCTTAGGTCAAAAATTGGGGTACAACAGCTGCCCCTATTTAAGTTTCTTCTATCTGGAGATATGAAGATTGAGATCTTCATTTCGACGAGATTGAAGGGACTTAAATATAGAATACACAATTTTTGGCCTTAAGATACCGCGATTATGTTCATGATATGATATGAATGTAATGCTCTGAATTTTATGGGGAATGACGCCATATGAGACAGACTATGCTGGAGAAACCAAGCACATTATACAGTAATCCCACAGAGGAAGGGGTTGTAACTCCACTTGGGAAACAAAGTCATAGACTTCAAATGAGAGACTCTTGAATGATTTACATCAGTATTGAGACTGGGAAAGAAATGATTTACATCAGTACGAAGACTGGAAAAAGAAAATGATTTTCATCAGCACTGTGGCTGGAAAACAAAATGATTGACATCAGCACTGTGGCTGGAAAACAAAATGATTGACATCAGCACTGTGGCTGGAGAATAAAATGATTGACATCAGCACTGTGGCTGGAGATAAACATCTTTGATTTCTGAATTTTACCGAGAACGGTAACACATTTCTTCTTTAACCAAGATATCGCTTGAAAAGGATAAAATAACAAACTTCCCCATGGGACTTTTCCGAAGGGATGCCATTTGCTGAGTAGATATTATTGTTGGGGATACACAAGCTGCTCAAATAAAGAGGCCGCCACTTGCTTCCTTTTAAAGGTGTCAATAACATACAAGCTGCTCACGAAGAGACCGCCACTTGTTGTTTTCCTTTCGAAATTACCAATAACACACAAGTTGCTCATGAAGAGACCGCCGCTTGTTGTTTTCAAAGGTGACAATAACAAACAAGTTGCTCATGAAGAGACTGTCGCTTGCTGTTTTCAAAGGTGACAATAACAAACAAGTTGCTCATGAAGAGACTGTCGCTTGCTGTTTTTTCAAAGGTATCAATAACACACAAGTTGCTCATGAAGAGACCGTCGCTTGCTGTTTTTCGAAGATATTAATAACATACAAGTTGCTCGTGAAGAGACCGCCGCTTGCTGCCAAAAACCCACAAGCTGCTCATAAAGAAGCTGCCACTTGTTGTCTTCAAAGAATATCAAAGCACACAAGATGCTCATGAAGAGTCTGCCACTTGTTGCCAATAACCCACAAGCTGCTCATAAAGAAGCTGCCACTTGCCGTTTTCAAGGGAACAATAACACACAAGTTGCTCAAATAGATAAGCTGTCACTTGTTGTCTTCCAAAAATACTAACGTACAAGCTGCTCATAAAGAAGCTGCCACCTGCCATTTTCCGTACAAGCTGCTCATGAAGAGACCGCCACTTGCCGTTTTCAAAAAGTGTTGATAACATACAAGTTGTCCATGAAGAGACTGCCGCTTGTTGTTTTTAAAAGTGTTGATAACATATAAGTTGTCCATGAAGAGACTGCCATTTGCTGTTTTCTCGAAGATACCCATAAAGTATCATGAAGATATTGCTGGAGGTGAGAATCAATAATTTCATCGAGGATGGACAAACTGCTCATGAGGAGACCGCCATTTGTCGTAGAGAAATCAGAAATAATCAAACTTCTCAAATAAAGAGTCAGTCGCTTGTTGTCATGTCGATATTCCAGAAGAAGGTTGTGATAACACTGCTGGGGAATAAATTTCATCTTCAATGGGGAACCATGAATAAATCCTTCTTGAGGAGACCAAATATTTACGTTGCAAAATAAATGCACTCTCCATCTAGGTTTCACAGCCTAGAGAGATCCACAGGGTATCATTCACAAGAGACAAAGCTCAATCCAGGAATAAACTGGAGAGAAAATAGTCAAACAAGACTCCACCCAATGAGGAAACAACTCAAATGGGGATTTATCCTATCCAGAGATGGAAAAGGAAAGCTAAAGCAAGATTCTTCCACGAGAGTTAACTCAGTGGGGAATTAGAAAAGAGGCGCACTTTCTGCTTAAGTTGACACTCTATTTGGAAAGATCAAATACGTTATTTGAATAGACATAACCAAGGTATGCGAACTCAAAGATATCAACAAGTACAACTGTGCGTGCATGATGCCAGTATGAACGAATGAATGAATGTCATGTATATGTTGACAAAACAGACAGGGGAGATGGACAGAAAATGATAAGACATCACAGTACAACTCGACACTCGGCTAATCTCAACAGGATGGTAACATTACTGGAGATAGAAAACAAAAGCCATCATTGGAGCAAAGTCCTTTTACAAGGCTTAAATATCTCTGGAGAGGAAGATATTTTCAGGTAGAAAACCCAAAGTCTAATCTTCTAATGTCAATAATTCGTTGAAAGGATAACAACACGAACAATACTTCAGCTGGAAAAAAGTCTTGCTTAGCTGGAGATACTGGAAAACCACCCTCTGATGATGTGTGCAAAACATATCACACATCTTGGCAAATCTAGATTGCCCCTGGGACCAATTTTAGATGCCCCAAGTTTACTGCTGATGAGCTGCATGTTGCACGACAATTCTTGCGAATAGCTTCACTTCTAACATACCCCAAGCTATCTGGTTGATGAGGAGAAATCGTCTCAAGAGGATTTTACAAAAGACCTGGCATTCACCATGCTCTGGTGTCTTCAAACTCTTAGAGGAATTCATCAAATCTCGACGTGATTGCCCCGGATTGACTGTAATTGGCCCAACAAAGTCTTCAAATTTTACCCCAAAAGAGTAAACAAGTTGGGAAAGCATTAATTAGGAGAAGCAACACGTCCGTGCTTAAGGTCTTCAGGTGACATGCCCCTGCATATGATTTTTTCTTAACGTGATCCGCCAATTATTCAACATAGTTTCAAGCCTTAAAAGAATAAACTCATCACTGGTGCTTATGTGAGCTTCCTTGATATCAAACAAATGTTTTGCAGTTAGAAAAAGTTTACAATGAGAATGAAAATTCTAATGCAACAGTTATGTAAGTCTTGAAGATTTTGAAAGATATCGCACAAATTTTACGAGTTAAAGCACCATTTATTTTTGTATAGGAAAAACATATGATACCAACATAACTATTTAGAACATTCATGGGAGTCAGGAACACTATCTCATTGAAGTATGCTTTCAAAATAACCTTGCTTCAATTAGGACTTTTGAAGGTTGTAACGTGGTCTGGTTCATGGTTTTTAGAAAAAAGATTTTAAGGCTCAAAATATTTGGTGCCCACCCATTCTTCATGATGTTCTCCAACCCTATGTTCAGTTAATTCAACATGAGTGTTCATCTCTCAAAAGGATTTTGTGACGGTCAAGGAAACGACGAGGCTTTCGGAGTAGAAACCACCCACATGTCTTCGTGTTTGTAGTCACCAATTTGTTCTTTGCTGAGGACTTTTCTTTGCAGTCCTTTTCTTTGCGATTTTATTTTCCCTAACTTTTGCCTGAACTAATTCTTTTGAATTGATAGTCCAGCGGGATGCCTTAATTTTGCCTAAGTCACACGTTTTCATGTTTTTTGACTTAGCAGGCTTTTTCTTTTTCTCGATTTTTGACTTTTTGAACAAAATGTGTGACATTAGCTTGTATTT